CTAGAATAATTCTAATATAAGGTATATGAAAATAAACAAATATACAGATCGCGTGTCTTGTCTCATATTTCATTCTAATATCCAATATGAAATGAATATCGTCTCAATTAGATCTCGAAATGAATCAACAGAACCTTCTTAATTTTTTTCCTTCTTCCCTTGAATCGTATCTACTCTGGTCAAGCCCACTACCGGAACGCTTAGTCCATACGAACCTGCACCAAGAAAGAAGGAAATTTTGATTTTTCGGGAAAGAAAGTATTAGGTAGAGAAGCCCTGGGGAAAGGAAACTCGCAAGCTTCAGTTTTCTAGTTCAGAATCCGATGTGAGGAAGGACATTCTAAGACACATCACCATTTAGCTATTGCATTTATTTTTCTTATTGCCGGTCATATGTATAGAACTAATTTCGGGATTGGACACAGTATCAAGGATCTTTTAGATGCACATATTCCTCCGCGAGGGCGATTGGTAAGGCGGTCATACATCCTTCACCTAAACTAGAACTTGATTTAACGGCTCTTTCCAAAATGGCTATTGAGAACAAATTAGATCAGATGGTTCTATTTCTCAATCTTTCTAACTTGCTCCTACGGACCAAGGTCGAAAAGATTGAAAGTTACATTGCTCATTTTCTCACAAATTTGGCTTAATAAAAACGAGCGTTAATACATATATTTATACTAGGATCTCCATTACCAATGGATAAGATGATATTAATCCAATCGCAATAATGTATTTTTAGTTTACTAGAACTATCCACTAAAGTACCAAGATAGTTTATTCTAAAATAATTCTCTAAAAGAAACCTAGATTAATTTTCTAAAATATGGGCTTATATTGGATTATAATTATAGTATATATAGACATTTTTTTTCATATTTTCGAATAAGAAAAAAAATCAATGTCTAACCAATCGTGGATAATATATATATATATATATATATATATATATATATATATATATATATATATATATATATATATATATTTCTTTAATATGGAATATATATTAAACATTTATGATGCATGAAAAATCACGTACTATACGTGGTAATTCGAATATCATTCACGAGAGTTGTCCGTACAAATTCACACCAAACATGCATGCAAAGTAACACGCAAATAGTGCAGATAAGAGTAGAAGCAACATGGAAAAATTACCCTTTTTATATACTATATAAAAACCCCAAAACTTATATATATATATATATATATAAACTTCACCCATCACAAAATTCACAAACCAAGTTAAAAGATTTACAAAAGAAGTAATTAATTAATATAATATTATACAAATGTCCACCATATATTTCCTTATGTTTCTTCTTAGCCTAGTGGCTATCTCCACCGCCACAACCGCCGGCCAAACTGGCGAGCACTGGCGGCAAATGCCACTCGTCAACCGCGTCCACTCGAGGAGTAGTACTTGGGCGAAAGCCAGAAACCACCACCAATTATCTGAAGCAGTCGAAAAAAGATCCCTTTGGAAAGCGCCCGAAGAATATTCCGGAATGCATCAAGCTGAAAAGCTCATGCCCACCGGATTAATGTCAAGAAAAATTACCATGGAAAAAAATATGAAGGAATTCAAAGCACGTGAAAATCGAGTCGCGGGTTATTCGTCAGGTGCAGGAAAGGATCATGTTGCAAAATTAAACAAGCATGATCAAATGATGTTTGTACAAGGTGGTTATAAGAGAGCAAATATGCATACGTTGGAGGAAGCATCGACGAAGAATAAGCGCCCGGCTGGTTATCGAGCAAAAATGACCCATATTAATAAGAAAATATAAGTCGATTTACGTGCATCGGTGGTTGGTGATTAAGTTAAATAAAAGATCATTTGATGCAATTATAATGTGAAACGAAAAATGCAGTACTGTAAAACAAATTATCTTGTGGCAATAAAATAATCTTCTGGCTTTTTTTAATTTTTTCTTTTTCTTTTTCACATTATATAAATTGATAGAGAAGCAAATAATGATGCATTTTTCCTTCATACTATATACTATGTGTTGAAGAAGAATTAACATTATATATATATGTTGTAATTTAATTTTTTTTTTGGTTTAATTTATAAGTAAAAATTCTGATAGAAATTTTGACGAACCGTTAGTAATATGAAGTTACACTTAATTATGCACTATAAACAGAAGTCCAAATCAAATTACGGAATAATTACACCTATGGTCCTTATATTATACACCAAACTGATTTTAGTCCCTATATTTTACTCCATGTTTTTTTTGTCCTCAACGAGGAATTTGTTTTCACTTTTGGTCTGCCGTTTGATTTACCTCTTAGTTTGGATGGAAAAACGTCGTGTGTTTTGCTTGTGAGGATGATGAAATAACCTCAAAATCGACAAGGGGTAAATGTAATTTTTTTTAACCTCAAAAGTACCCGTAATATACCCGTATTTTGTTTATTTAATAACAGGACAATTTACCATTCACTCATTATGTTAAAATTTATAATGGACTGTTAGTTTTAAGTGGATATTTGTAATTACCAATACTATGGGGGTCTGTAAGTTATTTAGTCTTACCTCAGAGGGTATTCGTAATTTACCCCAGAGGGTAAATTTAGGGATGTTAAATAGGTAAAACTGAACCGAAATTTAATTCAGTACACCAACATTTCATACCGTTTACCGAACTGTATATGCAATTTAGTTAGGTAAATAACCGAATTACATAAATTTTATGTAAAAATATTTAAAAGGAGGGGTGACTGTAATTACCCAAACAAGAAGGGTTTTTTTTAATTTATTCATAACTCAGGGGTGGTCATAAGTTGTCCTTTCTATAATTAATATAGTCATTTCTAGTTAATTAATTGCCTTTATAATCTGATGGTAAAAACAGTTTAATGCTCTATGCATGACTTTGATTATTTTTCGAATTGATTGACTTTTGACATTGGAAAAACATAACAATAGTTAACACATCGTTCAGATTTAAAGTGACAGATAAATTGGAAAACTCAAAGTGCCCCATTATAAAGCGTATTTACGATCCACTATATCTATAATGTATTTACGATTCACTATATCTGACCAAATTGTATCGAACGTACGGAAAATTAAGTACGTACTAATCAAAATCGAGTTTTGATTTTATTTTTAAAATAGGTAAATAAATTCAAAAAAATATATTTATTTTATATATAATGTTTTACATTTATGACTTGCTTGTGAAAATATAAAAATTACTTTTTTTTTTCATACTTTATTAATTGTCGAACCGATCCAAACTTAATGTTATGGTTCGATATTCGGTATGTGAAAATCCCGATTTCCACTTCGCATTCATATGCGAAAAAAGTAATTCGGTTTCTTCGTCACCATATAAATATGTGTCTTATTATCTTGAAAATATCTCATCATTTCACAAAAATAGAAAGAAAAAAAAATGAGTACAATTTATATGTTTTTATTTGTAATTGGGTTGATTATTCTTCCGATCACTACTTCTTTCGGCGATCATCAAAATTCTTTCGACGAAACAAAAACTTTAAGCACCGAAAAGAAATATCCATCTTCGGTACCATTGGAAAATAAAGCCATAATTAAGAGGCGTGGGCCATCACCGCCGCCTCTTAAGCCAAACCCTAATCAAAAGCGGGGTCCTTCTCCTTCAAGGCCACCCGCTCCAAAGGATCACCCACCGGGCACTCACTCTCCGGCCGGTTCCTCCACCGCTGGCGGCAGTGGTGTCGGAGTTGGCCGCCGCTACAATATTGGCAGCGGCCCTAATAAAATATAATTGTTGAATAATATGTCATATCATATTAATGAAATAAAATGACTTCAATTTGATCTTATTGAAGGTTTTCTTTAATTTATCGTCTTTTTAGTTTATAAAAAGAAAAGAAAAAAAAGCATTATGAGCTTGAGGTCAAGTCTAATTTTAGGGTTCAACCTCACAAATAAGGCTAATGAACATTTATATATTTTTAAGGGCAAATTACGGCAGTCCCTGAGTTATGGTCAAATTATAAAAACGCTCTTCCTGTTTGGGTAATTACAATCACGCCCTCAACTATGTATTATCTTACGAAAATACCATTTATAGGTAAGTTTATAAGGGATTTTAAATTGGTAAAACCGAACCGAAATTTCATTACGCCAACATTTCGTACCGTTTACCGAACCGAATATGCGATTTGGTTCGGTAAATAACCAAATTACATAAATTTTATGTAAAAATATTTAAAAGAAGGGGGTGGCTGTAATTACCCAAACAAGAGGGGTTTTCCATAATTTGGTCATAACTCGGGGGTGGCCGTAATTTGCCCTTTTTTTTTTATTTTAATTATTTATAATAAAAAAACTATGAAGAAAAGTTTCGAGCCGGCTCATGGATTGCGAAGAATTTAAGAATGAGATCAACATTTCATTGAGTTGTTTCACAAGGCACATGAAAGGCACATGAGCTTGAGCTCGAACTTTTGTCGATATTAATTGTGAAGCTTAATTTTCTACTTACATATATATATATATATATGAGCTCATTTATATATCTTCAATGAATCCACATTCCATTGTTTGCTTGGGTTGTTTTTATTGGTTTTAGTTTCCATATCGAATATAATTTATTTTTTAATTTGATATGTAATCTTTTTATATATGTGTATTTTTTTTGTAATCTCATCGATTATAAATGTATATATGCTTAAAAATGTAAGTAGAGATGCTCTATGTGATCTTATATAGGGTTAAATGCATTTGGGATTAAACCATTTTTGTCTATATAAACCCTTTTATAGCAAGTAAAATACATGGTTTATTGGTAAGGTCCTGAATTATTAAAAAAAAAGAGAGAGAATTATATCATAATTTAATATCTGCCATTAAACTCTAATAAACACATACATTCAAGCAAACGCAAGTTCTTTCATTAGATAGATTCTTCATGCCAATAGGTCCTTTACAAATAATTAAGTAGCTGAATTATTACAAACTATAGTTACAAAAGATAAGCTACTTTTATAATTTAGAACAATCGGAATAAGTCGATTGTTCGAGAAGGCGTAGGGGCGACTTCGGGTGCCTTGGACGGGGCATGGTGCTTGGGCTTATGTTCATGGTCAATAATCTCTTCTTCTCCCAAATCGAAATCTTCATCAAACGGGGTCTTTTTATGGTGCTTGGGTGCAGGTGCGGGTGCATGAGATGGTTTGTGCTTGGGTGCAGGTGCGGGTGCATGTTTTGGTGGATGAGTCGGCTTGTGTGTAGGGATTGGGTGAAGTTCTTCATCTAAATCTAACTCGTCGTCCCATTTGTGTTTGGGTGCAGGTGCAGGTGCACGAACTGGCTTGTGCTTGGGTGCGGGTGCAGGTGCGTGTTTTAGCGGATGAATTGGCTTGTGAGTAGAGACTGGGTGAAGTTCATCATCGTCTAAATCTAACTCGTCATCCCATTTGTGTTTGGGTGCAGGTGCGGGTGCTTTAGATGGCTTGTGGTTGGATGCGGGTGCACGAACTGGCTTATGCTTGGGTGCGGGTGCAGGTGCGTGTTTTGGCTGAGGAATTGGCTTGAGAATAGGGACTAAGTGAAGGTCATCATCGTCTAAATCTAACTCGTCGTCCCATTTGTGTTTGGGTGCAGGTGCCGGTGATTTAGATGGCTTGTGGTTGGATGCAGGTGCATGAGTCGGCTTGTGCTTGGGTGCAGGTGCAGGTGCGTGTTTTGGTGGATGAATTGGTTTGTGAGTAGGGACTGGGAGAAGTTCGTCATCGTCTAAATCTAACTCGTCGTCCCATTTGTGTTTGGGTGCAGGTGCAGGTGCTTTAGATGGCTTGTGGTTGGATGTGGGTGTATGAGTCGGCTTGTGCTTCGGCGCGGGTGCAGGTGCGTGTTTCGGCGGATGAATTGGCTTGTGAGTAGGGACTGGGAGAAGTTCGTCATCGTCTAAATCTAACTCATCGTCCCATTTGTGCTTTGGTGCGGGTGCATGAGAAGGTGGCTTGACCTTGTGCAAATCTTGCCCATCAATGCCAAAACTCTCATCGTAATTGGCTAAAGATGGGATTGCAAGAACCGATAGCACAATTAGGAACAAATATTTGGGAGGCATGATTAATTTTGATGTTTGATAAACTATGTGTTTTCAATTGTGAAAATAGTTGAGAATGATGGGTGGTTTTTATAGGAAAATAAGACCACTTACTTGAGGACACGTGTCATTGTAAAACTGGAGGGCTTTTAGTGTTAGATTTTTTCGACGAACCTGGCCTGCATTTCACTTTATATACAAAGTTTTGCTTTTATTAAGTATATAAGAGTAAAATCATGCACTTACCAAAGGTTACAATGCAATTTATTCTTTTCAAATTCATTATTCTTTTGGTGGAAATTATATATGATTGTTTATTTACTATTTTGCAAGTGGAGTTTTTTCTAATTTTCACTATGAGAAATAATATTTTGAATGACAACGTAATTTAATTTCCCAAATGTTTAGGTAGAAATCTTACTATGTACATAATTTTCGAACTCGTCACAATTTAGATGATACGTAGATCACAAACGACGTGTAAGTAGCATATTCAAGTTTGAGATCGAACAAATCCGCCGACACAAATAAATTAAAGCAGACGGAGCATTAAAGTATTACAATCAAATGTTCGATTAATTTGAGTTTCTCGTTATCTCATTAAAAAGAATTAATTTTTTTCATAAGTCTCTTTTTCCATTTGATTTGATAAGTTCAAATTAATTATAAGCAAATCTATTCATCTCTTATTAATTTGATACCTTATAAATGTGCTGCATATGTTAGAAATTTTTCATTATTATTTTACACAAAGACACACTCATATATAAAAATGAGTAGAATTAATATATTTTTATTTGTATTAGGGTTTGTTGTGATATTCGTAACTACTACTTTTGGATATGATACAAATTTAGTGAATTATGAAAGCAAAATCATAGTTGAGAGGCCTGGAAAACCCCCGATAGCGATACCACCTCGTATTATTAAGAGTCCTCCAAAGCGGCCGCCAGGTGGAGGTAGAAGGCCGCCTTCTGGGCGGATTTACGCCGATCCTCCGGGCAAAAAAAAATCTCTGGTTGTTTCCTCCACCACTAGTGGCGTCGGTCATGATGGTGGAGATGAAAGCGACAGCAGCGGCGGCGGCTCTACTCATTGAATTAATTGTATATCGTGCATGTTTGATAGACGGGTTCGATGAATGAAATAAATGACGCAAATAATTTGGTGTAATAAATAATTTTTATTCAACAATATATACATATGGTATTTATATATGTATATCGTCTTTTTTAAATTAGATTATTATTTTTCTCCAAATTAGATTAAGAAAATAAAATATCATGGAAACCCTTTCACAAAACGATTACGGGTGAATAAAATACACTACGTCAAAAAAAAAAAAAATCAGCCCTAATTCGATCTTATAAATGGCCTGTATATATAGTATATCTTATCGCGGGGGCTATCGCCCCTGCATCCATCAGGCAACACTAGTCGAAATAGGGCAAAATAACGAGCCTTTAGGGGATGATCGTGCATTTTCCCTTACGCTTCGCTAGGGGTAAAACCGTAAAAAGCTTTTGAATTTTTGGCCTATGATATTAGAATAACTCACTTGAGTCTAGCATTTTAGAACTTAAGTTGACCACTAATTAAGACTCATGTACATTTATATACTTTTTTTTTTTAATTTTTTCGTATTATTATTATCTATATACAATGAAAATATATAAAGAAAACTTCCGAACATAATTATGAGTTTTGAGCAATTAAAAATGAGCTCAAACTCGATTCATTAATTGTAAAGCGCGATAACGAGCTCTACCACAAGATTCATTATGTCAAGCACAATTTTTGTTTAAGGATAGGTTGAACGAATTCATGGCAAAGGCAAGTAACTACCATTAAAATGTGTGCCACATTTCATTTCACATTAACAAATATTATATAATATATATCATAGTTTATTATACCGACCATTAAAATGTATTCAAACACAATCAATCAAACGCCAATTCTTTTATCATACTAAGATATATTCTCCATGCCAATAGATCCATTACAAGTAATAAAGTAGCTGAATTATTACTATTATTAGAGACTACTTATCACATGGAAGCTACTTTTTTAATCTAGAACAATCCGAATAAATCTTCATCCAATTGGGATTTTGTATGGTGCTTTGGTGCAGGTGCGGGTGCATGTTTTTGTAAATGAGTTGGCTTGTACTTCATGGCTGAGTGAAGCTCCTCGTCTGAATCTAACTCATCGTCCCATTTGTGCTTGGGTGCAGGTGCAGGTGCGTGTTTTGGTAAATGACTTGGATTGTACTTAATGGCTGAGTGAAGCTCCTCATCTGAATCTAACTCGTCATCCCATTTGTGCTTGGGTGCAGGTGCAGGTGCGTGTTTTGGTAAATGACTTGGATTGTACTTAATGGCTGAGTGAAGCTCCTCATCTGAATCTAACTCGTCGTCCCATTTGTGCTTGGGTGCAGGTGCAGGTGCGTGTTTTGGTAAATGACTTGGATTGTACTTAATGGATGAGTGAAGCTCCTCATCTGAATATAACTCGTCATCCCATTTGTGCTTGGGTGCAGGTGCAGGTGCGTGTTTTGGTAAATGACTTGGATTGTACTTCATGGCTGAGTGAATCTTCTTGTCTGAATCTAACTCGTCATCCCATTTGTACTTGGGTGCAGGTGCAGGTGCGTGTTTTGGTAAATGAGTTAGCTTGTACTTCATGGCTGAGTGAAGCTCCTCGTCTAAATCTAACTCATCGTCCCATTTGTGCTTCGGTGCAGGTGCGGGTGCATGAGACGGCTTGTGTTTGGGTGCGGGTGCCGGGGGATGTGGCTTGATCTTGTGCAGCTCTTGCCCATCATATTTGGCTAAAGATGGGATTGCAAGAACTGATAGCACAATCAAGAACAAATATATGGTAGACATGATTGTTTTTTTTAGGATTGATTAACTATGTGTTTCCGATGGTGAAAATAGTAGAGAGTGGTGTGGGTTTTTATAGGAAGGGAAGACCACTCACTTGAGGACACGTGTCATTGTAAAAATTCTAGGGTTTTTTATTGTTAGAACTTTTCGATGAACCTGGCCTACATTTCACTGTATGTACAAATTTTAAAATCATGCACTTGCCAAATTTTATGATGCCCCCATACATTTATAGACACGTGTCTCATACAAATTTAATATTTATTGGTGAAATTAACGTTAATTGCCAAATTATCATTGTTATTTTGAATTATTAAATAAATCTCCTAATTAGTGAGTTTGTAGTGGCCTAGCTTTGGTATTTCATTCAATGGGATTTTTGTTAATGAAAATAATACTATAATTGTTTTTAGCAAATAGAGTAAAATATATGTATTTCACTTACTATATATCACATGGAGTTTTGTTTTTACTAATTTTGTTTACTATGACCATCGAATACTCGAAGAGGGGATTGAGATAGAAATTTCATGATTAAAAACAGCGGTATTAAAACAGTTTAATGCAATAAAATTTTAAAACATGAATTTAAATGACATAAAATTTAAAAGATATAATTTAAATACAAGAATTGAAATAACAATCGAGTAATACTAACTTTAGGGTTTCCACTGATCTTAGGCGGTATAACCGACCATTGATATATATATATATAACCTATGTAGCAAGAAAAATTCAACTTATTAATTTTTCCGTGTTTTAGACAGATTTTGTGTCCGATACTCAAGGACACCTATCGGACACCTTATGGGCCATTTTGCAATTTCTAAAAAGTTATAAGCATGTTTGAATAGCAAATTTTCAAATATTTTTGTTGGTTTCCTAATTATTTACAGGATTTAATGATCAATTGACAAAGTGATAGTTGATAGTAAAATATATTTTGAATATGTTTGTTTGAAAAATAAAATTATATATAAATAAAAACTTATACATATGTTTTAAATGTACCACTATATTTTTAATATTTACACGTATATCAAAGCTGTTGTATTCCCATTTTTGAGACATGCCGATACCCCATGTCTGCCCCATTTTCCTCATATTGTCGTTTCCGTAGCACATAAAATATATAGAAATACTAATATTAGATCCGTATATGTATCAAAATTGAATATGTACATAATTTTCGGTCTCGTCACAATTTAGATGGTCAGCTTTCGTAAATGCCCAACTTTATCACGTCAAACATTTTTCTTCTTCTTTTGTAAAACAAATCTGTATGTATAGATACACACGTGTGTACTGACTTTCGAGTAAACTCAGTCTCGGACAATAGCCGGTAAATCAGAAAACATGTAAATGGCATAATTAAAAGCCGATAGAGTAGTAATTAAAAGTTAAAAAGTTAAAAGTTTATTTTTCTATTTGATTTGATAAGTTCAAATTAATTACATGCAATTATCTACACATGTGTTTCCCTCTCATCTTTAATTAATTTACAAGTAAATCTACACATGTGTTTCAGACCACTCATGTAGTGAACACGTGTCGGTGTGAAATTGGAGGGCTTTCTTATTTGTAGTTTTCAGAGTTTACAATGATGTGCACTTACCTGAGATATGAAGATGACATACATGTACGTTACACGTGTTGCATGCAAGTTAAATATTTTTAGGTGGAGAATCAATGATGACAGTAGTTTCCCATCTGGAATTAGGTGTCATTTAAGTATTGCAACGTTGTACCTAATACCTTTCTTTTTAGGTTAAAACAATTTATGTTGCTACATTAAATTATTTTTAAATAATTTATCAATTTTAAATTTATTAGAGAGTTTGTGGGACTTGTGGTATATAGACCTATTGACTAAGTGAGCTTGTAAGGAATGGTCTTTTTGGTGGAATTAAAGAATTCAATTGATTCAGTATTTCAATCATAGTTGAGAGGCCTGGAAAACCCCTGATAGCGATACCACCTCGTATTGTTGTGAATAGTATCATATATATTTCGCAACGAATTTAATGATAGACAACAACTTCATTTGTTGCGAAAGAGTGTTTCTTTTTTATATAAATTTGTAGTAAATACATATACAACGACAACAAATTTATTTTGTTGCCAGTAAGTGATAAAAGACAACAAAATATTTTGTTGTAAATGCTCCAAGTGATTTGGCAACAAACTATAATCGTTTGTAAATGTTCCAAGTGATTTGGCCAACAAATATAATCGTTGCCAATTTACAAACCAACTATTTTTTTCTTTATTTTACTTTATTGTATATATATAGAGATATATATACATAATATATATATATATATATATATATATATATATATATATATATATATATATATATATATATATATATATATATATATATATATATATATATATATATATATATATATATATATATATATATATATATATATATATATATATATATATATATATATATATATATATATATATATATAATAAAATATGATAAGAAAAATCTTATTTATTTATATTAACTAGCAGTAACTCATGATTTTTTGTTAAGTTAATTGTTCATATGGTTTTAAAAATCAAGTATATATACATTTATTAATAGGGGAGAATTAATGACAAGATGTTATATTTATAATTTAATTTTATTGTAAATTATTGTTTTGACATATTATTTATTTATATAACTATATTAAACATTTTACCTTGTCTATTTGGTTTTTATAAATTTATTTTCAGCCAATTTGCAGAATATAATGTTGCCACAGCGGTTTGAAGGGGCTCTAACTTCAAATCAACTAGGGTTCAATTCGTGTCCGGCTTGGCTCGGTGGTCCAATGGATGTGGGTCGGGTTGGCGGATGTGGGTCCGGCTTCGATAAAAATTCGGACCATATGTTTTGCAATGAAATAAATTCGTTGGCAACGAAAATAAATTCGTTGTTTATACTATTGGCAACCAAAATAAATTCGTTGTGTATATATAATACATTGGCAACGATATATAATTGCCAACAAAATATATTCATTGTGCATTCTACATGTATAGGCAACGAAAAATATTTGCCAACGACATGAATTCGTTGCGCAAACTTAAATGTATTGGCAACAACTTTTAATTTGTTGCCCCGGACTTTCCGTAACAAATAAAAGACAACGAAGCTAGCAACGACTTATTTTCGTTGCGAATGGAATTAGCAACGAAATTATATACTTTTCACAACGAAATTCGTTGTAGCCAAATGCGAACTTTCTTGTAGTGTATACACATGGATGTGTATATTATTATGTGTACATATATACCCACCAGGTGTAGATTCTACAAAATCGTATATATAATGTACCGTATCGCCCCCCACCACCTGACAAGAGTAATCGAAATAGGTTTTTGGATTTTTTTACCTAGGATTTAAAGACAAAATTCTTATAAATATAACAATATATAATAAATAAATATTTTTAATTGGTGTATATGAACAAAAATTGCAAATTGAGTGCATATACATTCAAATGGAATTTAGCTTTAGTTTTGATAGTTAACCCCTAAATTAATTAATTGATTGTGATATTGGTTAAAATTAAAGGGTACAATTATATAATTCGACCGATCAAAGGTCTATAATATTTGAATGCAATTACACGTTGAAATTAGTTCAGAAGATACACTCTTTTAGACTCACTTTTGCTATATAATTAAATTGGGCTAAGTTCATTTACCTCCCCTGTACAACTAGGAAACATTCACTTACCTCCCTTATACTACCAAAACTATCACTTATCCCCTCGAATTATATGTTCTACCAATTATACTATTCTTTAATCTAAGTATCTTCTTCTTTGATTTCAATGCTAATTTTCTACAACTTCCATTATTTTACATACTCATTTAACTATTGTTGTTTTATTTCTATTTCTTTTTATTTTTGTTTGATTCTATAGAAAAAAAAGATATACTTTTCTCCTAAAAGAAAAGTATAGCAAGAAACTACCAATGTAGAAACTCTTTAATTAATAACATTATCATGATTTTATTATGTCAACCATTATAATGCATTCAAATACGCAATAGGACAATGCAAGGAATTAAAACGCAAATTCATAATTTTATATCACTACTAAGACATAGAGGATACCCTTAATGGACTAGATCCATAACAAATAAGTAGCTGAATTATTACATTCCAAAGTATCAAAAGCTATTCTTTTAATTACTAATATCTAGAACAATCGAAATAAATCGATTGTTCGAGAAGGTGTCGGGGCGACTTCCGGTGCCTTGGATGGTGCATGGTGCTTGTGCTTGTGTTTATGGTTGGTCACTTCTTCTCCCATGTCGAAATCTTCTTCCACCGATGACTTCTTATGGTGCTTTGGTGCAGGTGCAGGTGCATGAGATGGCTTGTGCTTTGGTGCAGGTGATGGTGCATGTTTTGGCGGATGAGTTGGCTTGTGCTTGTTGATTGGGTGAAGTTCACCGTCATCTAGATCCAACTCGCCGTCCCAATATTTATGATTGGGTGCAGGTGCAGGTGCATGAGATCAGAGCCGGTCCTGCAAAAATTGGGGCCCTAAGCAAGCTTCGACAAAAATAGATTTTTTTTTCCCTTATATGTATTACCTTTTTTTTTGTTAATACTTATTTTTCGATTTTTTTTAAATTAATTCCTTATTGAGCTACTAAAAGTTTACTAATCTATTAAAAATACATAAATATTAAAAAGCAATAAACTTTGTGAATTTTTTTGATAACACAATAAAAAGATTAAAATATATACTTATATTAGAGATAATAGGGCTAAAACGCATAAATCATATCAATAAAATATTACTATAATATCAATCATTTAGCATTTTTTGAAGTAAAATATATAACCAACAATCATTATTATATATAATTTAATAAATAATAACGAAAGCTTGCTTTTTTTGTATTGAAATTACCAACAGCCTTATCTCAAAAAACAACAAAATACCACAATCAATTTTAGTGTAAGAATAATATAAAATATATCTAAATATATATAATTAAAATATTTATTTTTGGGGCCCCCTTGGGATGGGGGGCCCAAAGCACTTGCTTGTGTGGCTTACCATCAGGGCCGGCCCTGCATGAGATGGCTTGTGCTTGGGTGCAGGTGCAGGTGCGTGTTTCGGTGGGTGAGTTGGCTTGTGTGTGGGGATTGGGTGAAGTTCATCGTCGTCTAAATTTAACTCGTCATCCCAATATTTATGTTTGGGTGCAGGTGCGGGTGCATGAGATGGCTTGTGTTTGGGTGCGGGTGCAGGTGCGTGTTTCGATGGGTGGGCTGGTTGTGCTTGATTGGGATTGGGTGAAGTACTTGATCGTCTAAATCTAATTCGTCGTTCCATTTGTGCTTTGGTGCAGGTGCGGGTGCTTTAGATGGCTTGTGTTTGGGTGCAGGTGCGGGAGCATGTTTCGGTGGGTGGGTTGGCTTGTGCTTGATTGGGATTGGGTGAAGTACTTGATCGTCTAAATCTAACTCGTCGTTCCATTTATGCTTTGGTGCAGGTGCGGGTGGATGGAGAGGTGACCTCTTGTGCAAATCTTGCCCATCAATGCCAAAGCTTTCATCATAATTGGCTAAAGATGGGATTGCAAGAACTGATAGCACAATCAAGAACAAATATTTGATAGGCATCATTATTTTTTATGTGAGTGATTAACTGTGTGTTTCTAATGGTGAAATTAATGGAGGGATGTGTGGGTTTTTATAGGGGTTTCAGACCACTCATGTAGTGACACGTGTCGGTGTGAAATTGTAGGGCTTTCTTATTTGTAATTCGTAGTTTACAATGATGTGCACTTACCAGAGATATGAAGATGCCATGCATGTACGTTACACGTGTTGCATGCAAGTTAAATATTTTTAGGTGGAGAATCAATGATGACAGTAGTTTCCCATCTGGAAATTAAGTGTCATTTAAGTATTACAACGTTGTACCTATACCTTTCTTTTTAGGTTAAAACAATTTATGTTGCTACATTAAATTATTTTTAAATAATTTATCAATTTTAAATTTATTAGAGAGTTTGTGGGACTTGTGGTATATAGACCTATTGACTAAGTGAGCTTGTAAGGAATGGTCTTTTTGGTGGAATTAAAGAATTCAATTGATTAAGTATTTCAATCATAGTCGAGAGGCCTGGAAAACCCCCGATAGCGATACCACCTCGTATTATTAAGAGTCCTCTAAAGCGGCCGCCAGGTGGAGGTAGAAGGCCGCCTTCTGGGCGGATTTACGCCGATCCTCTAGGAAAAAAAATCTCTGGTTGTTTCCTCCACCACTAGTGGCGTCGGTCATGATAGTGGAGATGAAAGCGACAGCAGCAGCAGCGGCGGCTCTACTCATTGAATTAATTGTATATCGCGCATGTTTGATAGACGAATTCGATGAATTAAATAAATGACGCAAATAATTTAGTGTAATAAATACTCTCTCATTCCCTTAATATTTGTCACTTTTGTTAGTTGCACACATATTAAGAAACTCAATAAATATGCATAGATAGTAGCAAAATGTATAGTAAATCACTAAAATGCCCATGTCATTAATTGATTTTTAAATTATTATATTTCAATTAATTATGAGTGAGAAAGGGCAAAAGTGAAAAAATTGCAATTAATTATTCATTGGAATGGTAAAATGACAAATAATTTGAAATGTGAAAAAATAGCAAAAGTGACAAATATTAAGGGAAGGAGGGAGTACTTTTTATTCAACAATATATACATATGGTATTTATATATGTATATCGGTTTTTTAAAATTAAATTGTTTTTTTTCTCCAAATTAAATTAAGAAAATAAAATATCATGGAAACCCTTTCACAAACGATTACGGGTGAATAAAATACACTACGTCAAAAAAAAAAAAACAATCAGCCCTAATTCGATCTTATAAATGGCCTGTATATATAGTGTATCTTATCGCGGGGGCTATCGCCCCTGCGTCCATCAGGCAACACTAGTCGAAATAGGGCAAACTAACGAGCCTTTAGTGGATGATCGTGCATTTGCCCTTACGCCTCGCTAGGGGTAAAACCGTAAAAAGCTTTTGGATTTTTGGCCTATGATATTAGAATAACTCACTTGAGTCTAACATTTTAGAACTTAAGTTGACCACTAATTAAGGCTCATGTACATTTATATACTTTTTTTAATTTTACGTATTATTATTATCTATATACAATGAAAATATATAAAGAAAACTTCCGAACATATTTATGAGTTTTGAGCAATTAAAAATGAGCTCAAACTCGATTCATTAATTGTAAAGCGCGATAACAAGCTCTACCACAAGATTCATTATCTCAAGCTCGAACTTTTGTCGAGTCGATTCACTTATGAACTGACTCAGCTCCTTTCTGAACTCCTAACGTTCATGCGTTTTTTTTTAATAACTCATGTTTTCTTTTGGCTATTTTCAAAAAACAAAATGGAAGGCACAATTTTTGTTTAAGGATAGGTTGAACGAATTCATGGCAAAGGCAAGTAATTACCATTAAAATGTGTGCCACATTTCATTTCACATTAACAAATATTATATAATATATATCATAGTTTATTATACCGACCATTAAAATGTATTCAAACACAATCAATCAAACGCCAATTCTTTTATCATACTAAGATATATTCTCCATGCCAATAGATCCATTACAAATAATAAAGTAGGTGAATTATTACTATTATTAGAAACTACTTATCACATGGAAGCTACTTTTTTAATCTAGAACAATCCGAATAAATCTTCATCCAATTGGGATTTTGTATGGTGCTTTGGTGCAGGTGCAGGTGCATGTGTTGGTAAATGACTTGGATTGTACTTAATGGCTGAGTGAAGCTCCTCATCTGAATCTAACTCGTCGTCCCATTTGTGCTTGGGTGCAGGTGCAGGTGCGTGTTTTGGTAAATGACTTGGATTGTACTTAATGGCTGAGTGAAGCTCCTCATCTGAATCTAACTCGTCGTCCCATTTGTGCTTGGGTGCAGGTGCAGGTGCGTGTTTTGGTAAATGACTTGGATTGTACTTAATGGCTGAGTGAAGCTCCTCATCTGAATCTAACTCGTCGTCCCACTTGTGCTTGGGTGCAGGTGCAGGTGCGTGTTTTGGTAAATGACTTGGATTGTACTTAATGGCTGAGTGAAGCTCCTCATCTAAATCTAACTCGTCGTCCCATTTGTGCTTAGGTGCAGGTGCAGGTGCGTGTTTTGGTAAATGACTTGGATTGTACTTAATGGATGAGTGAAGCTCCTCATCTAAATCTAACTCGTCGTCCCATTTGTGCTTAGGTGCAGGTGCAGGTGCGTGTTTTGGTAAATGACTTGGATTGTACTTAATGGATGAGTGAAGCTCCTCATCTAAATCTAACTCGTTGTCCCATTTGTGCTTGGGTGCAGGTGCAGGTGCGTGTTTTGGTAAATGACTTGGATTGTACTTCATGGCTGAGTGAATCTCCTCGTCTGAATCTAACTCGTCATCCCATTTGTACTTGGGTGCAGGTGCAGGTGCGTGTTTTGGTAAATGAGTCGGCTTGTACTTCATGGCTGAGTGAAGCTCCTCGTCTAAATCTAACTCATCGTCCCATTTGTGCTTGGGTGCAGGTGCGGGTGCATGAGACGGCTTGTGCTTGGGTGCAGGTGCCGGGGGATGTGGCTTGATCTTGTGCAACTCTTGCCCATCATATTTGGCTAAAGATGGGATTGCAAGAACTGATAGCACAGTCAAGAACAAATATATGGTAGACATGATTGTTTTTTTTTAGGATTGATTAACTATGTGTTTCCGATGGTAAAAATAGTAGAGAGTGGTGTGGGTTTTTATAGGAAGGCAAGACCACTCACTTGAGGACACGTGTCATTGTAGAAATTCTAGGGTTTTCTATTGTTAGAACTTTTCGACGAACCTGGCCTACATTTCACTGTATGTACAAATTTTAAAATCATGCACTTGCCAAATTTTATGATGCCTCCATACATTTATAGACACGTGTCTCATGCAAATTTAATATTTATTGGTGAAATTAACGTTAATTGCCAAATTATCATTGTTATATTGAATTATTAAATAAATCTCCTAATTAGTGAGTTTGTAGTGGCCTAGCTTTGGTATTTCATTCAATGGGATTTTTATTAATGAAATAATACTATAATTGTTTTTAGCAAATAGAGTAACATATATATTGTATTTCACTTACTATATATCACATGGAGTTTTGTTTTTACTAATTTTGTTTACTATGAGTATGACCATCGAATACTCGAAGATCGAGGGGATTGAGATAGAAATTTCATGATTAAAAACAGCGGTATTAAAACAGTTTAATGCAATAAAATTTTAAAACATGAATTTAAATGACATAAAATTTAAAATACATAATTTAAATACAAGAATTGAAATAACAATCGAGTAATACTAACTTTAGGATTTTCACTGATCTTAGGCGGTATAATCGACCATTGATATATATATAT